CCAGTCTGTTGTTCCACGTCCAGTTCTAACTGTCGCTTCTTGACCTGTATACAGATTTCTCAGGAGGCACGTCAGGTGGTTTGGTATTCCCATCTCTTTAAGAATGTTCCACAGTTTGTTGTGATCCACACAGTCAAAGGCTTTTCCATAGTCGATAAAGCAGAAGTAGATGTTTTTCGGAACTCTCTTGCTTTCTCAATGATATAGTGGATGTTGGCAATTTGATCTCTGGTTTCTCTGCCTTACTTTCTAAATCTAAGCTGAACCTCTGGAAGTTCATGGTTCACGTACTGTTAAAGTCTGGCTTGGAGGATTTTGAGCATTACTTTGCCAGCGTGTGAGATGAGCGCAATTGTGCAGTAGTTTGAGCATTTTTTGGCATTGCCTTTCTTTGGGACTGGAAAGAAAACTGACCTTTTCCAGTTCTGTGGCCACTGCTGAGTTTTCCAGATTTGATGGCATATTGAGTGCAGCACTTTCAGGGCATCATCTTTTAGGATTTTAATTAGCTCAATTGGAATTCCATCACCTCTACTAGCTTTGTTCATAATGATGCTTTCCAAGGCCCACTTGACTTTGCATTCCAGGATGTCTGGCTCTAGGTGAGTGATCATACCATCATGGTTATTTGGGTCATGAAGATCTTTTCTGTACAGTTCTTCTGTGTATTCTTGCCACCTCCTCTTAATATCTTCTGCTTCTGTTAGGTCCATACCATTTCTGTCCTTTATTGTGCTCATCTTTGCATGAAATGTTCCCTTGGTTTTTGTAATTTTCTTGAAGAGATCTCTGCTGCTGCTGCTGCGTCGCTTCAGTCGTGTCTGACTCTGTGCGACCCCATAGACGGAAGCCCACCAGGCTTCCCCGTCCCTGGGATTCTCCAGGCAAGAACACTGGAGTGAGTTGACATTTCCTTTTCCAATGCGTGAAAGTGAAAAGTGAAAGTGAAGCCACTCAATCATGTCCAACTCTTAGCGACCACATATACTGCAGCCTACCAGGCTCCTTCATCCATGGGATTTTCCAGGCAAGAGTACTGGAGTGGGTTGACATTGCCTTCTCCGGAAGAGATCTCTAGTCCTTCCCTTCTATTATTTTCCTCTATTTCTTTGTGTTGATCTTGGAGGAAGGCTTTTTTATCTCGCCTCGCTATTCTTTGGAACTCTGCATTCAAATGGGTTTATCTTTCCTTTTCTCCTTTGCCTTTCACTTCTCTTCTATTCACAGCTAATTGTAAGGCCTCCTCAGACAGCCATTTTGCTTTTTTGCATTTCTTTTTCATGGGGATGGTCTTGATCCCTGTCTCCTCCACAATGTCACGGACCTATGTCCATAGTTCATCAAGCACTCTGTCTATCAGATATAGTCCCTTAAATCTATTTCTCACTTCCACTGTATAATCATAAGGGATTTGATTTAGGTCATATCTTAATGGTCTAGTGGTTTTCCCTACTTTCTTTCTTCAATTTAAGTCTGAGTTTGGCAATAAGGAGTTCATGATCTGAACCACAGTCAGCTCCTGGTCTTGTTTTTGCTGACTGTATAGAGCTTCTCCACTTTTGGCTGCAAAGAATATAATCAATCTTGTTTCAGTGTTGATCATCTTTGTTGTCCATGTGTAGAGTCTTCTCTCGTGTTGTTGGAAGAGGGTGTTTGCTATGACCAGGACATTTTCTTGGCAAAGCTCTATTAGCCTTTGCCCTGCTTCATTTTGTAGTCCAAGGCCAAATTTGCCTGTTACTCCAGGTAGCTATTGACTTCCTCTTTTTGCATTCCAGTCCCCTATAATGTAAATGACATCTATTTTGGGTGTTAATTCTATAAGGTCTTGGAGGTCTTCATAGAACTGTTCAACTTCTTCAGCATTACTGGTTGGGGCATAGACTTGGACTACTGTGATACTGTAACAGTTTGCCTTGGAAACAAACAGAGATCATTCTGTCATTTTTGAGATTGCATCCAAGTACTGGACTCTTTTGTTGACCATGAGGGCTACTCCATTTCTTCTCAGTTTCTTGGTCCTGAGCCAAGAGCTACTTATAAATACACTCCTTGACATGGCCCTGCCCACCAGAGTGACAAGTTCTAACTCCACCCACCAGTGGGCAGGCACCAGTTCCACCCACCAGGAAGCCCGCCCAAGACCTTAGGCCAACTTAACCTCCCAGGATGCAGATACTAGAACCAAGAAGAACTACCATCCTGAGAAAAAGAAACCACAAATATGGAAAGTTAGACAAAATGAGATAGCAGCAAAGTATGTCCCAGGCGAAGGAACAAGATAAAACTATAGAAAAACAACTAAGTGAAGTGGAGATAGGCAAACTACCTGAAAAAGAATTGATAGAAATGATAGAAAAGATGGTCCAAGATCTCTGAAAATGAGTGGCACACAGACTGAGGGGATACAAGAAATGGTTAATAAAGAACTAGAAGCTTTAAAGAATGGAGATGAACAATACAATAACTGAAACGAAAAATATACTAGAAGGAATCAAAGCAGAACAAATGAGGCAGAAGAAGAGTAAGTGAGTTGGAAGACAGATTGGTGGAAATCACTGCTGTGGAACAGAATAGAGAAAAAAGAATGAAAAGAAATAAAGACAAACTCAGAGATCTCTGGGACAATGTTAAATGCACCAACATTCACACTATAAGTGTCCCAGAAGGAGAAGAGAGAGAGAAAGGGAGGAAAAATATTTGAAGAGATAATAGTTTAGAATTTCTGTAACACGGGAAAGGAAACACTCAAGTCCAAGAAGTGCAAAGAGTTCATTAGAGGATTAATCCCAGGAAGAACATACTGAGACACATATTAATCAAACTGACAAAAATTAAAGAGAAAATATTAAAAGCAACAAGAGAAAAGCAACAAACAACATATAAGAGAACCCTCATACGGTTATCAGCTGATTTTTTCAGCAGAAACTTGGCAGGCCAGAAGGGAATGCCATGATACATTTAAAGGGATGAAAGCGGAAAAACCCACAACAAAGAATACTCTACCCAGCAGGGCTCTCATTTAGATTTGATGAAGAAATCAAAAGCTTTATAGACAAGCAAAAGTTAAGAGAATTTAGCACCGCCAGGTCAGCTTTGAAACAAATGCTGAAGGAACTTCTCTTTGTGGAAAAGGCCACAATTAGAAACAAATTACAAATAGGAAAGCTCACCAATAAAGACAAACATAAAATAAAGACAGGGAATCATTCACACACAAATATGATATCAAAACCAGCAACCGTGAGGAGAGTGCAAATGCAGGATATTGGAAACACATTTGAAATTAAGAGACCAGCAATGTGAAACAACCTTGCATATATATATATATATATATAATTATACCAAAACCTCATGGTGATTTCAATGTCTTTCTCAATTACACTCTAGTTAAGATGTAAAGGAGACGTTCACCAGCATTACTGATTACTTTTTTTACTATATAAATGTATTATCCACACCATAAATATTTTTTGAAGTAGTATCAACTATCAGTATAGCCAAAGGTAATTAAAAAAAAATGTGGAAAAACTACACATTTTGGGAATTAAGAATTTGTCAAGCTAAAAGATCAAGTTTACAACGTGCATAATACCACACCAAACTGCTATTTATTTATTACAATTATACAAAGTTAACTTCATATCTTCGGAGAAGGCAATGGTGCCCCACTCCAGTACTCTTGTCTGGAAAATCCCATGGACAGAGGAGCCTGGTAGGCTGCAGTCCATGGGGTTGCTGAGTCGGACACGACTGAGCAACTTCACTTTCACTTTTCACTTTCATGTATTGGAGAAGGAAATGGAAACCCACTCTAGTGTTCTTGCTTGGAGAATCCCAGGGATGGGGGAGCCTGGTGGGCTCCCATCTATGGGGTCGTGCAGAGTCGGACACGACTGAAGCAACTCAGCAGCAGCAACTTCATATCTCACAATATAATATTTTTATATACAATATTTTATACACAATATTTTTATACACAATATTTTAGACACAATATTTTATACACAATATTTTTATACACAATATAATAAATGTGTTTACAGTTCAAACTGAAGAACACAAGTTTGAACTATGTGAATCCACTTACACACAGATTTTTTAAAAATAATACATACGACATTACTACATGATCTACAGTTTGTTGAATCTACAGATGTGGAACCACTAACATTGAGGACTGACTGAAAAGTTACAGGTGGAATTTTGACTTTGCACTGGGGTGGGGGACCAATGACCACAATTTCCCTGTTATTCAAGGGTCAACTGTATTTGATTTTTAAGACCAAGAATTAGAAAACAACTATGTCAGAAAAAAAAAATGAGATTTTTGGTTATAGTAAAAAACACAGAAAATAAAATTTACCATTTTATTGTTTTTCATTATAATAAAAAATTAGTCATTTTATCACATTACAATCATTTTAACTATTTTAAAATCTAGTTTAGTAGTGTTAAGTATATTCACATTGTTGTGCAGTAGATCTCCAGAACTTTTTCATCTTTCAAAACTGAAACTTTATACCTCCCCATTTTCCTCTCTATTTTGATTCTTTACATATCCCATATAAACGTAATCAGACATTATTTGTCTTTCTGTGACTGGCTTATTTCACTTACTGTCGTGTCCTCAAGGGGCACTGATATTGTAAGCATGTAACAAGATTGCCTTCCTTTTAAAGGCTAAGTTTGCACACTCATGTTCATGACAACATTATTCACAGTAGCCAAGAGGTAGAAGCAACTCAAATTTATATTGATGGTGAATGTATAAATGAAATCTCTTTGATAGGAAAGTTTTTAAAATCCATTTTATCCAAAGACAGGACTAAATGCCTGCAATTGTATTACTGATAAGCAGCTAGAAGAAAAATGTGTCAAATATCACTATGTGACAACAGAAAAGAATCAAGATTAAAGCTGCAGTTAAGAATAGCATATTTCTACTTATAGATAGACAATGACTGTTCATCTTACATAGCAAAATGCAGTCTCCTTACCAGTAATTATCACACCATCATCTCTATGAGCTTCATTCATTTCTTCAACATGGACATCTGAGTTCACATCAATCTCTTTCCCTGATAACTGTAAATAAGCTTGAAGAGAAGATGCAACCTTGACAAGAATAGAGCCTGTGATAAATTTAAAGGAGAGCTTATTTAATGCAAAGAAATAAAAAGTACTGGAGACTATTATAAAAATTATTTAAAGAGTAGCATTGCTCCCAATAGTCTGTCTTTACTCATCAGTATATTTGATTTAAATAGTAATACCTTTTCCTCACTCTCAGGTGGTCAATATCTCTTATTCCCAAGGCAATCACAGTATCTTTTGTCAAGAATATGAGCCACTAGGCCATCATGAACTACTATTTCTTTTTTTTCCAAGAGTCTTAGTCAGCTTGTCCAATACCAGAAAAGTGAGTTTAATAGACATGCAGCTTATAGACAAAATTTACCATTAATTGCGCATTTACTAAGAGCCAGACACCTTCATTACATTATCTTTTAACTTCCCTCTCAACTTTATGAGGTATTATTGTAATCCCAATTTTACAGGTAAGAACTTGCTCAAGTTTCCACGACAGCTATTGCGAGAATCAAGATCCATTGCAATGACAACAAACCAGTGCTCTTAATCATTGCAGTATTTCATACACTGCTACCTCATTGTATTACCAGACTTGTGATCTCACTGATCACTATAACATAACTAGAACCCTGAGCTCTTATGCTTTCGGTAGTACCTTGTTTGTGGGGGAGGGGAGGGTCAATAACAAAAATTTAAAAAGGAATATTTAGATTTCAACTCACTAATGTTTCTTTTAATGGATTACAGACTTTTTGGGGGGTACCTGAAGCAAGACACTCAACTTTATTTCTACTACAATCTTACCAAAACAACAAAACACCTGTTAAGGAGGAGTCATTTTTCAAAACAATTACATGGACTGCAGTGAAAATTTACCAGTATATTCTCGTTTCAAGAGGTTTTTCCCTCTATTTCTTACATATCAAATAAATAAGAGGCCCTTCCCATAAAACAGTAACCTCATCTCTGTCCACAAAGAAGGTCAGGATGACAACTATTGTGAATGCTGTAAACACTGCTTCTAGAAGGCTTTTGTTTATGGGTCACTGTGTGCTTTCCAGTTTGGCTAACATCAGCTTACGTTTCCCTAAGTAAGTTCTGTATCTTCTCAGCCTTTCTAATGGGAGCTGGAAATCTGGAGTTAAAACTGATGGACTTCAGCATTTACTCCTCATAAGGGGAGAACAAAGCACATTACTACAGTTGGTTTATCTTATTTAAAAAACAAGTTGCTTTTCAGAGTTTCAGTGTCAGCTACTTAAATACGAGCTGTCCATAAAAATGTATGAGGGCTTTAGGAAAACTCAAAATAAAAGCAAACTAGGAAAATGTCAGGATAAATAGAAGATACATGTTCTTCTACCAAGTATACTTTAAAATGTAGAAAATAATGGATTTTAAAAACCTTTTCTAAAGGTTTTAAAACTTTAAATACATCAAATGTGATAATTTTAAAAACATTTTTTTTTCTGTTCTTAAATAAAGTGACTGTAAATTTGTGGGAGTCTTAAAAATGTTAAATGATGTGAAGAGTTCTATCCTTATCTCTCCACACCCTTAAAGAACAAAAACTACCACTATCAAAACTCCATTCCTATCTGTGAATGAAGTCTCACGATTTTTGAAAGCTCTACCCAAAGTGCCATCTCTAACACTATCTTCTTTAGAAAGGGCGGCACCTATTACATCTTCAACCTCTTTTCACTTCAAAAGCTGCTTCATGGCTACTGACATCAATACCATTTTTTAAAAATTAAAAAGCGAATACTAATAATAGCATCATTTATTGAAGGGTAGAGTAAAGGCTTTATCAAGGAAAAATTTTAAGTGGAAAAGTCAGTACTCAGATGCAACTCTGACTCTCAAGCCTAAACACAGTCTTTTCAAATGAATTCATAAGGTCACCATGTTAACTTTCACAGGAAGAGAGAAAATAAGCATTGTGACAGTTTTTTTCACTTGGCAAAATGACTACAGGGGCCGAAAGGACAGCGGAGGAGACTCAAGTGGCTGGCTCTTAAACCCTTCAGCAAGACAGTGGCAGAGCTGGAAAGGATTCCAGATGTCTTTACTAACCAGTAAGCAACAGAATTGTGAAAACTTTCCATCACTCCAGAAAGTTAGTGCTCCCAAGTCTAGTGAGAATTAAGAGACCTGAATTAAGATAGAAAGCTTTGTTTCCAGTTATCTTTACACTCCTGCCAGTATCATGGTCCCAACAGGAGAAAACATAAAATTGTAATTTCAATCAAATCTTGCAATATCATGTGCTATTTCAGTAAGTTACTGGAAAAACAATCCAAATAATAGTTAAAAATACTTCAAATGGACGAAGATTAACAATGCTTTTTGTTTGCTTTTACTTTTTTTCCCATTCATACAAAATAGTATATGATTTTCATGTAAGAGCTATCCAAAACTATACTCTGTTACTAGTAACGTTAAATGTAGTAATGGTTTTTCTCCTTGGGTCTTCACAATACAAGAATGCAATTATATGAATTTTTTTTGACATTTACAAATTATCCTAAACAGTATTACTGAAGCTCTTAGAAATTTAGTGAGAACATAATATTATCTTATTTAAAAGGAAAAAATGTGATCTTAAGAAATCAAATAATACTTGTCTATCAGCAATAACTTCAGTTTCACATGTTTGTGCTTGTAGTTTTACTTTGATACTGAGAAGAGAGCCTCATTGAACAAAAAACGTACTAAACCAACATGACAAAGAAATGACTAACAGGAACAACTGGTCTCTATGGAGATTTTTTTCCTTGTTATAAACATAGCCATGTTCTGGCCTATATGCAAGAGCTTCCAGATTTTCTCTTAAAAAAATTTTATATAGAGGTATGGTTCTTAAGTTTCCAAATCCAGATCACTTAAGCCCCTATAGCCAAGCTACTTCAAGTACCCAAGTCACTTATCACCATGCATCTGTACATCTATATGCATGCATGCATACAAAGACTTGCATATTCAGCCTTCAGGTGATTAAAAAGTATATAATTTTTCATGAAAGACTTGAACTCTTAGAATAAGCTATTTATATTAGACATAAGATTACACAAAGAGACACATCATAAGTCTGATACACAACAGTCCCCAACCTTTTTGGCACTAGGAGAGATTTTGTGGAAGACAAATTTTCCACAGACTGGGGTTAGAGAGGGTGGTGTTTCAGGATGATTCAAGTACATTACATTTATTGTGTACTTTATTTCTATTACTATGACATTGTGATATATAATGAAATAATTATACAGCTCATCATAATGCAGAATCAGTGGGAGCCCTGAGCTTGTTTTCCTGAGATGAGGCCAAAACACAAGGGATGGGGAGAGACTATAAATAGAGATAAAGTTTTGCTCACTGGTCTTTTGCTTACCTCCTGCTGTGCAGCCCAGTTCCTAACAGACCAGGGACCACTACTGGTCCGTGGCCCAGGGGTTGGGGACCCTTGCTACAAGACACTTAGTTAATAATCACTTTAGAGGACCTTCTTGGTGACACGTTTATTTCAGGATCATACCTTCAAAAGTATTATTCTAGCATAATGGCCTAAGAAAGTCCTCTTACAAGGGAGCAGGAAAGCTACCAAAAGAATGTATGAGAACTCTTTCCCTCCAAAGAGTATTTATTTCAGACATTAAACTGAAAAATTACAAAATAACAGTCAATAAATTACAACATTTTTGTTTGTAATACAAAAAAAAAAAAAAAAGATAGTCTTCATGGCCATCTATTCCAAAAGTTTCAAAGATCATTGGTGTTGAGGGCCAGTATTCCAGTCTTTAAATCAGGTTCTAACACAGAAAAATTTTATTGAAATCTCTGTCAGTGTAGATAAGATAATTTGACCATCTGTTTCCTGAATGTTACATAAAATCTTCCTAATATCATATGTCAAAATAAAACATTGCACTTGGCTAACCTTTATGGACTTTCAATTCCACTTTCCCCAGCTGGCTGACATAAACATCTATGGCACCCTGCTGAGCCAAGGCATTTAGACATCCAGAAGACGAATCTAGGAGGAAGAAAGAACCATAAGCATAATCATTCTTATCTGAGTAACTGGAATTATAAACTTGAAATAAAAGGCTCTACTTCAGCATTAGGATATGAAGCTAAGAATCCTGAAGGTTTTCTATTTTCCTTGTAACCATACCATCTTTTGCTTTAAAAATGAAACCAGAATCAGAGGTCTACAAATCTACACTTAGGTAACTAATAAGAAAATCCCTATGTTTGCAGTAACCTCCAAAACTTAACTCTAAACATGTTTAATCTAAAACCCAATTTGTAGGAAGGAAATTACGGAAGTAATGGCAACACAAACCATTAAGTATTATTGACAGATTTAGTTTATTATCAACTTTCAAAGTTTACTAAAGAATGCTATCTCACATACAGTCACATAGAAGTAGTAGCAAAGTTAATAAAAATAAAGACTTTTACATTTTCTCCTTTTAGCAAATGAGCTAGTACTAAAACGTGCAGCTAATAGTGAAAGACTACATTACACAAGGTTTTGCTGCATTTCTTAGAGAGATGGGGAGGGGAAGGAATGACATGAAAAGTGAGTGAAGTTTATTTGTATCTAAATATTTCAATTTTTGGAAACTGAACAGATTATCTTTAAGTCAAGGAAAGAAAATCATAATTAAGGTGGTCCTTGTTTGACACTCAGATTTCCCTTTGTCATCACTGAACCCAGTTTTCAATCATCCAATGTTTCAAATTTCAGGGAATGCTGACAGTCAGATAAAGAAGTAAGATAACTGTGGTGAAGAGTCAGAGCTGTGTAGCTTCTCCTTTTTCATCCTTTCCCACAGCAATAGAACTTTGAGCTTTTCTATTTGATTGTCCTGAGAAGATCAAAGCATATTTTTTAGAGAGATCTCGTAAAAAGCATATTTTATTAGGTGCTTTTATTACTTCAAGGTAGAAAAAAATTAAGAAGTATGGTGAAAATAATGCCAAAAATTATACACTTTTTATAAAACATGAAGAAAAAAAATTTGTATACTCACAAAGGAAACATCATTCTTCTTTAAAATAAATGTTTAAGACTTTAAACAGAGACAAAAACTTGGGAATAAATAGTTTAAAATGTGACTTCAAGATAATTTATAATAATTTATCTCTAACCTATATTCAAAATGCCATTTATTAGATCCAATGTATTTAATTTTTAAGTGTCACAAGTGAACCCTGAAGTTTGGAAGTTAAGCCACTGGACATAAATGACATGGAGTAGTTGGACAAAGGCGGAGAAGGCAATGGCAACCCACTCCAGTACTCTTGCCTGGAAAATTCCATGGACGGAGGAGCCTGGTAGGCTGCAGTCCATGGGTTCGCAAAGAGTCAGACACGACTGAGTGACTTCACTTTCACGCATTGAAGAAGGAAATGGCAACCCACTCCAGTGTTCTTGCCTAGAGAATCCCAGGGACGGCGGAGCCTGGTGGGCTGCCATCTATGGGGTTGCACAGAGTTGGACACGACTGAAGCCACTAAGCAGCAGCAGCAGCTGGACAAAGATGAATATTTCTCTCCTCAGGTACCAAGAGAAACTCCTATAAAAACTTCTTCAATCAATTCAATTCAAAGCAGTCACTCAGTAGTGTTTGACTCTTTGTGACCCCAGGGACTGCAGCACACCAGGCTTCCCTGTCCATCACCAACTCTCGGAGCTTGCTCAAACTCATGTCCATCAAGTCAGTGATGCCATCCAACCATCATCCTCTGTCATACCCTTCTCCTGCCTTACTGCATCCTAAAGAAAAATTTCTTACTGCATCCTAAAGAAGCCAAGTAAAAATATATTATGGTAAAAAAAAGAAATGTAAACTACAAAGTGTGTATTACCTCAAGCTGAACAAAGTAAAATATTTGAAACAATATTTAATTGCTTGCTTTTTCTAGGGGAAACCCATAAGATTTTTATATAGCTCATAAACAATGCTTTTCACTTCTTTTTCTCTTCACATGGGACATAAACAACAGCTAAGTAATTATATCCTAACCCATTAATAAATTATACGCTCATGTTATCAGTCTTGAGCTCTAATACTGGCCCACCCACTGGAGGCTGTCCAAAAAATTAAAATTCAAGATGTGTTTTCAAAAGAGAAAGCAAAGGTAATATTTTAAAAACTATGTAATGGCAACCCTCTCCAGTATTCTTGCCTGGAGAATCCTATGGACAGAGAAGCCTGATAGACTACAGTCTACTGGGTCACAAAGAGTCAGACACGACTGAGCAACTTCACTTTTCACTTTAATACAAATGAATGGAACTAAAAATTAATTACCAAGAGTCAGATTAAGGCTTCATTCATAGAATTTCATTTTTTGGAGATTCACAAAACAGAGAAATTCTATTATAGATCTTGGAAGAAGCCTTAAGGAAAAAAGCGTTAGAGATTAAGTGAACAAAAATTACTAGTACAGACACTGACTGGAATAAATAAAATCCCACAGAGAGTTTTCTATCACCACAACTTTGGAAAAAGATTTTGTTCATCTGACAGAGACCACTGAGTCTTCCTGGAAAATTACACACACAAAAGGGAAAAACTGATGTCAGCTACCAGCTAACACTATATATAACCAAATAAATAGATATTTGTAATATATACTCTGCTATTAAGCAAAGAATAACAACTAAGCTCAAAAGGCTAAAATTCCAAACTTTTCTATTTACTTTCAGATAAAGGGAGAATTCTCTTGAAATTGTTCAAATACATTCAGAAAGTTCTTCTCAATTTTTATAATTTCACCTCATTTCAACATGCAGGTAACTAAAGAACAGCAACACAAAAGATAATGATTTTGCAATTTGATTCCTACACTTCCAAAGCTACACTAATTTCAAGAACAAGGAACAAATTTCATATACAGGATGTAAAGGATTTGCAAAGGCAGAATTTTAAGGTCTCTTTGAGGAAAATTTTCTAAATTAATGTCCTGCCCCTAGGAATTCTGTTAGGAAGGTAGCTTATAGCAGGCTGGGCTTATAAGAAACACACAAGGCAACCGCTACTACCAGCCCCCCTCAAAAAAAAACTATGAAAATATCCCTTTTTAAAAGATATAATTTCCAGTACACAGCTTCTGGAAGTGCCTTCCAAAAGAGGGAACACAGAACAGGCAAAGTAAGGCTGGGTGAGCAACTTCTATTCCACCATTATCTACTATCAAGCCCTGCTTTCTCCTACTGACTTTTTAAAAATGGAAGATGACCAGGTATTCCAGAAGAAAGATACTATTTTTAAAAATATAAGTGTAGGGAAAATTAGGATTTTTATATACATAATCAATTTTTTTATAGAACTTCAGCTTCTAAGAGAGCTCTATATGTTTTACGGAAATTAGGAAGAACAGGGTTTTTGTATGTAGCTGCTGCTGCTGTTGCTAAGTCGCTCCAGTCGTGTCCGACTCTGTGCGACCCCACAGACGGCAGGCCACCAGGCTCTGCCGTCCCTGGGATTCTCCAGGCAAGAACACTGGAGTGGGTTGCCATTTCCTTCTCCAATGCATGAAAGTGAAAAGTGAAAGTGAAGCCACTCAATCATGTCCAACTCTTAGCGACCCCATGGACTGCAGCCTACCAGGCTCCTCTGTCCATGGGATTTTCCAGGCAAGAGTACTGGAGTGGGGTGTCATTGCCTTCTCCATTTGTATGTAGGTTAGAATGTATGTATAAAATCCAAGTGATTGAGGAGATTACCTAAGAAGCAGATCAATTATATTATCTAAACTAGATTTAAAGGACCATAATTACACATATTCTTCTTAAAAGGAATCATGGAGATAACACAATCTATTTTCCTGAAATTAGACAATATAATAACTATCATCTTTAGTCTCTTAATATTCCAATTTGATAATACTGTATAGCCTTTTCTCTACATCCATTCCAATATTTTGAAGCCTCTGGTAGACTAACAAATTTCCTTCTCAGGTACCTAAATCACTTTTTCTTTGTAACTGTCTTGCTTCTACTGGTCTCAATTTCTCAAAACTCAAGTTATGAAGTGACTTTAATTAGGTTGTCTTGATTTGCTGAGCTGCCTCAACTTTGTCCAACAAATCTTCTGATTTAAGGAAAACAAAAATCAACCAATCAAGAAATTTCAAATAAACATTACCCACTTGTCACCTTTGGGATTAAGGTACCAGACCCAACATTTCTCCAGACAACAATGGTCTTTAGATTTTATAGCAGGGTCATCAAATTACAGTCCACCTCTTCTTATTATTAATAAAGTATTATTGGAACACAGACACATCCATTTGTTTGTATACTGTCAATGGCTGCTAGCATATCAAAATGAGAAAGCTGCAGAGTATTCACAGACTATGTGGCTCACAGAGTCCAAAAATTTTACAATATGGCTCTTTACAGATAAAGTCTGCTGCTCCTAGAGCAAAACATTTTAAGAAAATGAGCTTCCATCACCACAAACAAAACACAATGTTAAATTTGGTTTTTTTTTTTTTTTCCCCAGTTCAAACCGAAACCTGATGGTGTAATTGTTGGTTGTGCTTGCATTTTATTTAAGACTTCTTTTTCTCCCTTTGTCACTTTTTTTTTTTCCATTTATTTTTATTAGTTGGAGGCTAATTACTTTACATCATTACAGTAGTTTTTGTTATACATTGAAATGAATTAGCCATGGATTTACATGTATTCCCCATCCCAGTCCCCCCTCCCACCTCCCTCTCCACCCGATCCCTCTGGGTCTTCCCAGTGCACCAGGCCCGAGCACTTGTCTCATGTACCCAACCTGGGCTGGTTATCTGTTTCACCCTAGATAATATACATGTCTCAATGCTGTTCTCTTGAAACATCCCACCCTCGCCTTCTCCCAGAGTCCACAAGTCTGTTCTATACATCTGAGTCTCTTTTTCTGTTTTGCATATAGGGTTATCGTTACCATCTTTCTAAAGTCCATATACATGTGTTAGTATACTGTAATGGTCTTTATCTTTCTGGCTTACTTTGCTCTGTATAATGGG